TGTGTGATTTCTTGTAGTGAACTTTTATTTTTCTCGGCTTCCGCGTCAAAAGTGCTTTTACCTTTTCTATTACACAAAAAGCACTTATTTTACCAAACACTACCCACTTTTACTTTTCAAAATCACTTTTTTCTCAAACACTATCAACTTTTATTTAATCACTTCTCTCCATTTCATTAAAAAAAGCACTTTTTTAAAAGCAGAAGCTGTTGCAAACAGACCCTAAATATTTCGTTTTACTATATTGAGGTGTTCCTATTTAATTGTCACATACCTTATTTGATAAAGTTTGTGTAGCTCAAAATCATTCTTACGTTATTCGTACTTTATCAATTAACTAGTATCTTTACCCGTGTCGTGCACGGGATAAAACAATTTTGTTTTAATTTTACTATATATATGTGCACCCGCACACCTCACATATGTATGAGTAATTATAACTAACAGAAAGTCACTTAGTTAGTCGATTTTAACTAAAAGAGCCATTTTTTATTAACTCTCTGTTGTGCCTAAATGAATTTCGTCTTCTCAACCATCTATATCTAAACAAAAAAAATTGGTTAATGCGTATTTTTAATATCAAAATAAATCAAGATTTATGTTAATATTTAATATATACACTAAATTTAAAAATATTTAATATATACACTAATTTAAAAAAAAAAACTTTTACTCTTTCATAGATCAAATCAAAAAATTGATTCCAATTGAAAATATCTTTAATTACAATGGTGAAAACAAATTTGAGATAACATTAACATAAATGTGTATTTAGCAAACATTAACACATGAAGTCTTATTTTTTACCTGCGTGAAAGATTTTATTTTTTAGCTTTATTTTACAATGTAGAATGTAAGAAAAGATTTTAACGGTGCCGCTTCTACTCCATGACATCTAAAAAGAACAGGTTACTAAAAAAAGATGTTGATATCTCATTTTAAAATGACTTTTCTTTTAGTTTTAATATTGAAAAGTCACTTATTTAGTCAATTATAACATCGATTTATAATGAATATCCAAATTTATTGAGTATGTCTATTTTTTCACTAATTATCTAAACATGTTAGCATCCCAAACAAAAAAAGAAAATGTTCAATGCCTACTTTTGTTCATTAAATTTTGTCAATATTTTTATTCAATGTTAAATTTCTTTTTGTTCATTAAATTAAAAAATGGCTAATTTTAGTTTTATCAATATTTTTGTTCAATGTTAAATTTCTTTTTGTTCATTAAATTTAAATTTTTATTTCCCGGATGATGAAAAATTGTCAATTTAGGACCTAGATGATTGAAAATTATCAATCTAAGACCTATGTTGTCATTTACCAAGTATTATTGATAGCAAAAATAAATTTACACACGTCAAAAACGAAAACAATATGAAAAAGTGAAATACAAAATGTCAAAAATAATACAGGTTTATTTGGGCAAACAGAGTACAAATAAAAAAGTTGAAGGTATATAGACTGAAAATATTGAGTCTAGATGCTATTTCAAATTTATGTTCACCTTTCTAATCAAGGATATTTTCATTGGGATGTCACAAAGGTATATATTTTGAAATCTTTTGTAAAGAAAGAGGTTGAGGGACTAATTGGTAAAAGTCTAAAACCGAGAAGGCCTAATATCTTCAATAAAATTGACTACATCTATTTTTAGATTAACAAATTACAAAAATATGTAGTTAGTTTTGAAAAAAACATTAAGTCACAGATGAAATTTAATGAACAAAAATAGGCATTGAACATTTTCTTTTTTTGTTTGGCATGCTAACATGTTTAGATAATTAGTGAAAAAATAGACATACTCAATAAATTTGGATATTCATTATAAATCAATGTTATAATTGACTAAATAAGTGACTTTTCAATATTAAAACTAAAAGAAAAGTCATTTTAAAACCAAAGTTTTTTTTTGGTAAATTCGGGGTCGCAAAGTTGTAGCTTCTACTTTTTCCTCACTTGCTTGTGTCCTTTATGCTTTCTGATTTTTAAGACAGCCTTAAAGCATGTTTGGCATACATAAGTCTCTGCCTTCTAGCTTTTGTACTGTTTAAAAAGTCTTTAAAAGTTTCTAGTTGTATGTTTGGCATGACAACTTGTAAGAGCTTTTCAAAAATTAAAAGATTTTTTTTGAGATGCTACATGAAGTAGCATATGAGAAAAGCCCGTGACTTTTAGTATCAATTTGTCCTAATAGCTTGTATACCAAACATGATTAAATCAAACAGTCAGCTTTTTACCAAACAGCTACCACATTTTCCTTATAAGATCTTTTTAGTCATTAAAAGCTCACAAAAGTATCTTTTCAGCTAGTTGTGTCAAACATACCCTTAATTGGGTCGTTTTGTTGACTCAATTTGAATTGTCGTTTTTGAATATATACAGTAATGAGATCTCAATTTTAAAGCTTGGATTTATTTCAAAAAAGTTTTTAGTCTAAAAACTTCCATTTTTCCTATGTTCAAAATTCTTTTTATTTTTACATATGCAATATTGGTGTCATATGAAAGCTAATAAAAATCATGAATTTTGATATACTTCTTATAAAAATTGAATTACAAATGAAAAAGTTATATCAATTCAAAAAATAGTGGGAATTCTATAAGACAATTTGAGTAGAATTCCAATAGCTTACTTCTAAAATAACTATAATAATTCTAATTAACGGCAATCCTAATCTAATTTACAAATCCTAAACTTACGAACTATAAGTAATTAATTAATTAAAATACTAATTTGGAAAGAGAATCTAGAAAATTCTAATAAATGTTTGCTTAGAAGATGACACGTGACAAAACTTTCCATAGTTGTATCTTTCAAATGTATTATCTATAGATAGATGTATTATCTATGAATATCAACCACACAAACTCACTTTTCTTAAAACTCGTGACACTCTCTTCTGGTGGGTTTAAAAGGGGACGGGAAGGAGTATTCCGTATCAAAGTTTGTAGGTCTTTTCAAAAACTTTCCATCTTGAACAAATAACATGAACATGAACGAAATCTTTTTAAATACATGTCTGCATTTCTACATAAATCTTTTATTCAATCTTTTTATTTCCAAAATTGATCAAGTAATACGTTTAATTAGAGATATATTGAAAAGTGTCTTTGAATAAATGATAAAAGGCCCAATTTTAACTTTCATCCCCAATGTGCTAAACTTCATATTTCACATCTGGCCTATGCGGATGATTTAATTCTCTTCTCACGGGGTGACACATATTCTATCAAGGTACTTGTCGATGCCCTTATGGAGTTTGGGGACGCATCGGGCCTAATGGTGAACAATGATAAATCCAATATTTTTTGGGGGGTGTGAATGAAATGGATCTTTCGGAGATTATGGCCCTTGTGGATTTTGGGCGAGGGACGTTCCCGGTTAAATACCTTGGAATCCCTCTTGCCCCTTTAAAAATATCGGTTGCCCAATATGCGCCATTGATTGATACCATTTCCGATTTTTTAAAAACTTGGAACACAAAAACCTTGTCCTATGCCGGTAAGCTTGAGTTGATTAGATCGGTGATCCAAGGGGTCCAATCTTTTTGGCTCCAAGTGTTTCCGGTGCCCCAAACTATCTTGGATAGGATAGTCTCTATATGTAGGGTATTCTTATGGGGTGGAAAATTCTCTAAAGTAGCTTGGGATGACATTTGTCTTCCAAAAGAGGAGGGGGGACTAGGCATTCATAATGCAAAAATTTGGAACTATGCTCTTCTCTCTCGTACGCTTTGGGATGTCCATAGGAAGAAGGATACGCTTTGGGTAAGGTGGGTCAATGGGGTTTACCTTCAGGGTAGGAGTGTGTGGGATTTTATCCTGCACAATCGTGACTCGATTTTCATTAAGAAATTGAGTCACATCCGTGACCGAATTTTGAGTTGTTTTAATAACCTAAATGATGCTTTGATGGGTTTGAACTCCAGATCCGAAAATGGTAAACTCTTGACGGGTAAAATCTATGAGTTGTTGAGAGTAAAGGGAACGCCGAAAGTATGGATGAGCTTTATTTGGAAATCTTACGTTCCTCCCAAATTCTCTTTTAATGTTTGGCTTGCCTTGAGGAATCGATTACCTACGCAGGATAACCTCGGTTACCTACATATAGTTAATCGATGTGACCTTTGCAAGGGTGGCTTGGAAACAATACCACACCTCTTCTTTGTTTGTTCTTACACTTGTAGGGTTTGGGAGAGAATTAAAGAATGGTTGGGATTGACGCGCGAGATGTCAACGCTCACGAGCTCGGTCGAATGGATCTTGAAAGACCACAAGGGCGCAAAATTAAAGGGGAAGGCTGTCCGGATTGCGTTTTGTGCAACGGTGTACTACTTATGGCACGTTAGAAACGCAAATAGATTTGATGAGAAAGACATTAAAGAGGAGGAGGTCGTTGTGAAGGTCAAGTATGTGGTATATAAAGTACTTTACAACATATACCCACATGACTTGATTAATTTTTGATTCCAAGACTTGGTACATGGACATTCTAGAGGTCTTGTTAATCATGCCGCGGCATAGACATGGTCGATGTCGCGACCGGTGGAACTTTTTGACAGGGATAATTTGGAGGCTGTGCCATGGGGCAGTGTCCGTGACTGGAATTGATACTTAGACGAGGCTGGCATGAGTCCTATTTATGCCACGGCATTAACCGGAACCTCTATATTTTTTGGGGTGTTTGCCTCTTGCAACACCTTTGTATTTTCTTTGAATTTTAGCCTCTGATCTGTGAGCGTGCTCTTGCAGCTCTGATGTATTTTTTGAACCTCTTGATGGGCCAAGTATTATACTTGGTTTTTTGGGCATAGATTAGATCAAACAAAAACCTCCTTTCACCCACCCCACTTTATGTGGGGGTGGGGGGCGTTTTTAGGAGATCTAGAACATGTAATGTATAGTTTTGTTTGGGTGTTAATACAAATTTACATTTCATCCAAAAAAGAAAGAAAGCATGAGATTATATGTGCAAGTTTCCCGTTTTTTAAGGTATTTTGTTTGATGCTTGTACGAGTGCACTCATTGTATCGTGCAAAACTCGTTTCGCACCATACCTACTGATGTACCGTCTACCCCCTCTTCCCATCCCTGCCAAAACATCATCCCATGATTTCACATTTTTCACAACCATCTCGGCCTCTCTATAGCTCTAACCTCAGCGTTTCCATATTTCATCGTATTCAGGTATTGTTTTCTTCGCTCAATCTGTAGTCTTTGCTTGACTTCCATCATTTTCAATATTCTCAAAGATAGTTCTTGTATTCCTTCAACTATCCAGACATGAAAGGCATTTCCTTCAGATGTTTTTATCATTAACGAATTTTTAGATGGTCGGAATTCCAAATCTGAAAGACCATTCCACAGATCTTCTATTAGCTTTCTATCAAGGTTTTTATGAAACACCGTCACTCTACAGATCTTATTTTCAAGTGTCAGATAAGCCCATTTACTTTTGCGAGTTATTTTTTATTTATTTACAAAACAGCTGATTCGGGTTTATATATATTTTTGTTTGGTATAAAATGTGTTTTGTCATTTCTTGAATGATTGTAATTTAATGTTAATTTTTATGAGTACTACATCACGAAACCTTCACTCTTTCAGCTTTCTTTCATTCTAAGCTTTTATTTCCAACACGATGGTTAGGCTTATAGGCTTAGTATCTTATGATTTGTAGAATATGTATAGATAAGTGTTGGTAGGACATAGGAGTAGCTGTTACTTGTATTAGAATGCTTGCATTTTAATTTTTAGCATTTACTTATCATTTTTTAAATATATGCATTTTTGTCAGATTCCTTGCACCATATATACATTTATTTTCATCAAACTATTTTGGATGTATATGTTATGTTTTCAAAATATGTATTTGTAAGTTCTTTTAAAATATTAGGACTGTCTATTGCATTAAATTGTTTGTATCACTATCTGTAATATTGTATATTACATCAAGAGATCTGCTATACCTTCAGATTGTTTGGGTGTAATTTTTTACAGGTAAAACATGTGTGTCTGTTTTTTTAAATGTTAGGTATATGTGTATTTATTGCTTTAAAGTTTTTATTTCAATTGTTGATACAGAGTATTATCAATTGCCTAAAGAATTTGCATTTTTTTTGTTAGGATTCTTCTTTTGGTTATGCGAAGCAATATTTTATGAAAGAATTGGACTGCTGGTTTGAAATAAAGTGAACATTTTTCTTTTTCAATATATATATATATATATATATATATATATATATATATAGTGAGATTGAGCTGTATTCATCCTTCCTTTCCTTGCTTGGGATATGTTTCATAAAGCATGAAACTCAAAAATAGCTTTTAATATGTTTTATTTTACTTCATACATCATTCAGTAATCTGTAGTTAGGTGTGATTGGTATGTTTAAGGGTATAGGAATGGGAATGGGAATGAGTGTGATAGTGCAATGCAGGTTAATGGGAATGGGAAGGCCTATGTGAACCCTAGCCTATTTGGTGGGTTTGCTCCATTCTCTAAAAGTGGGTATCAAAACATCTTTCATTTCCATTCACATTCCCCATTACCTAACCCCTCCAACCAAGCATGCCTTTAGTCTTTTGATGCAGTATTCCCACTCCCTATATTTGATTGTAAACAACAAAATACTGAAAAAAAGAAGGTTGTGAAAAAACTGATGGATACATAAGAAGCATAAAAAACTTGCTCTTGGCTCTAGCTAGTCAGTTTTGTTAGGAGTGCTTTACCTTTAGCCAATTTTGGCAGGAGAATTTGCATAGCAAACTACATTGTTATTATGTATATAATAGGTTTTTGCTAGGCCACCAAGAACTATTCCTTTTCGGAAAAAGGTTCAAATAAGCCTTTTTAAAATTTAACAAACATAAGTCCATGTACTTAAATAAGTGTCATATACATCCATATTTTTTTGATACATTAGAAAAAATCATATACATCCATATACTTGTAAAAAATGATCATTTAAATCAAATTACTTGAAGGTGACCTGATTTAGCAGGTAAAATTAGATCTGACATTTTAAATAGGTCAAATCAGCTCATTTTTTTCCAGCTGGCTTTCTCCCTTTCTTTTTTTCGTTTCAAAATAAGTTCCCTTACCCCTTCTTCTATTCAACCTACCCCTTCTACTATACAATCTACAGCCTCACGACCATCCATTTGAAAATTGAAATCTATCCATTTTCATGCTTCATTTCCTTTTTAATTTTTTTTTTACCTCAATCTACAGCCCCATGTTGGGTTTTGTCACTAAAAAGGAAGGTCTGTTCCTCTTACTCTGCTTTATTGAGAGGCTCAAAAGTAATCCGACCTAGCTTCGAACACATCCCAGCCAAGCTTCAAACAGATCCGGCCACCACTTTCCTTCAAAATGATAGTATTTACCTCTGGTCGAGCGCGGAACATATCCGATCACAATTTTCACCCACCATGAATTCCATCCAAGTCAAAGCGGCGCTATGTATCCGATCATTCAATATTCGACCTCAGTATCCACTATTAGCCTACATCTTCTTTTTGGGAATGTTTATTATCTAAAACTAAGATAGTAATTTTGCCCGAGACTTAAAACTAAGGTAAAGAAAGTAGAAAGAAATCGTCAATGGAGGAAGGTGGAATTACGAAACAACGGACAAAGGAGGAAGAAAGGGAAAAGCAAAGAAAAAAAGGAAAGGAAAAGAATGGAAAAGAAAATTGGAAAGAAATAATAAGTAAATGCCACATAAGCCAAAAAAATTGCCGCAACCGGTCACTTTCAGGTCATGTGACTTAAATGACTCTTTTTTACAAGTAAACAGATGCATATTATACTTATTCAAGTACATAGACCCAAGTGATGGTTCTCATATAGTAGTATAGTACAAGGACCTATTTGACCCTTTCCTTCCTTTTTTTCCAAATTTTAAAATGGATGAGCTTCAACATTGTCATGATTAACAATATGTTACCTCATTTGTGGATTTTTTTGCAACTATATTTCAGTATAATTAATGTGAATATTTTTTTAAGTAACTTTTTCTGTGTTTAGGTTTTCGCTCCTATTTCATATTATGGAAGGAGAAACATCATGGGTCAGCCATTGCTATGACCACATTGTAAAAGATAGGATTGAGTTTGACTCATCATCATCGGAACTCGATGATGAAAGCAGTGGACCCATTGTTCTTGTTGATCTGATACTGCCCGATGATCTTTTGGAGCGGATTCTGTCCTGCATGCCCATTGCCAGCCTTTTTAGGGCAAGCTGTGTCTGCAAAAGATGGCATGATATAGTGAATTCAAAGCAGTTTTTATGGAATTTCTCACAGGTGCCGCCTAAAAAGCCTTGGTATTTTATGTTCACAAACTCAGATGAGCCGATTGGTTATGTGTATGATTCCATCCTCAAGAAGTGGTACCATTTTGAACTCCCATGCATTGAGACCTCGAATTGTGTCATTTCTTCATCTTGTGGATTAGTTTGCTTTATGGACAATGACAGTAGAAGCCAGCTGTGTGTGTGTAACCCCATAACCAAATGCGCCAAGAAACTTGAGGATTCTCCGGCTCTCAAGTTTTCGGACTACAGCGCTTTGGCAATCTCTGTTGAGAGGAAACCTCGCAGGTGCACCGTGACTTACAGCGTGACAGTTGTCAAGTCTAAACAGGTACCTGGAAACTTCTACCAGTGGGACCTCTCTATCCACATATATGACTCGGAAACAATGACTTGGGTAACCCCGTTCACAGAAACATTACAAGGGTGGAGAGCAGGGGATGAGAGTGTAATTTGCAATGGGGTTTTGTATTTCTTGATCTACTCCACAGGAGGTGGTCCTCCAGACAACCGGCACGGCTTAGTTTCGTATAATAATCTGAGAACCAGACCGACCCACGGTTACTTGATGAGTAGTTTCATACCGGTCCCGTGTCCCCTTACTTGTGGCCGGTTGATGAACCTTAATGAGAGGTTGATAATGGTAGGAGGGATCGGGAAACCGGATCATCCTGATATTATAAAGGGGATTGGGATATGGGGTCTTAATGGTGGGAAGGAGTGGGAAGAGATTGCGCGCATGCCACCTAGGTTCTTCCATGGTTTCGGGGAGTTTGATGATGTTTTTGCAAGCAGTGGCAGTGATGAGATGCTATACATCCAGAGCTACGGTGCACCTGCTCTTCTTGTTTTTGACTTGAGCCAGAAGCAATGGAAGTGGTCCTTGAAATGCCCAGTGTCTAAAAGGTTTCCTCTTCAACTCTTTACTGGATTCTGCTTCGAACCAAGGCTTGAAGTCTCTCCTTAGGCTTCTTATGCTGCAATGGATGGATTTCATCTGTTCCCTAATGTCCTCCACCCTTCATATGCCCTTAATTTTTTTTTTTGTCAAGAACTTGTTGAAAGGTATATTATATTATTTTTATTATATTATATAGATATATGTGCGCGCGCGCTTGTGCCTGGTCAATGAAATGAATTAGGTCTTTAATGACTTTTGGTCTACATTCCCAGATCTTGATGATTATGAATGTTGATAATTTATGAGTTATGGCTCTCTCAAATAGTGGGGACAATAATCTCTACAATGGCATGGTGATAAACTTTGATCAATATTATAGATATTTTTGTATGCAAGTGTGTCATGGATTAAAGTTTAACATCTTGGTAAAGATGATGAGTAATAGAAACATGTGCGAAAACATCTTCTGCATCTGCCCACATGGCCACATGAATGGGCAAAACGTTATTGGTTGGCAGTGGTGGAGCCACATCTGGTCCCTACAGCCACGCACTCTGTCTGAGGGTGTTAGGTGAGTGGAGTGGATTGTGAAGGTATGTGCTAGTTTTGGCATGTGAACCATTGAATTGGGGAGAGCCCATTTCTCGTGACACAATTCATGTGCTCACAAGATATCATGCACCCACCCAGGCCACCCTGAGAGTCTTCGAAATTGGTATTTATAGGAAAATATCATTGGATTAAATTGAAGATATCATTAACCTTCAATTTTGGTATATTATCATGTACATTTTTCTACACTACTAAAAATATTTTCTTTCACCTAACTTTTAACGGAGGTTGTAATATTGTGTAATACGTAGTATCTAATTTAACATCTAAGAGATCTTCAATACTAAAATGTGAACAATGCATATGTGGCATGAGAGATAGCCAATTAAAAAATACTCCGTAATAAATAGAATATCTCTCTTCTTATTTGAAGGATTTTGTATCGCTTTGGTAAGATTTTCTTCACAATGTCAAGCACAATGTCTAGATGTAGACATTGTGCTTGATATTGCAGATGAAAACTTACCAAAAACACATAAAATCGTGGAAAGAATGAGAGAGAAATGTCATAAATTCAATTTTTTTGTCTATCTCTCTCATGCCACATGTGCACCGTGCACATTGTAGCATTGGAGATGCTCCAAGGGGCAGCCAGCTGCAAGAAAGAATTGAGGCAAAGCGAGGATCCGCAGAAGGATCGCACAAGAAGAGTGTATAAAGGGTAAATATTTTTGTGTCAAATTTTGACAAGTGGTGGCACTCAAGACTTGACCTCTCGGTCGCACATTGACACCTTAATCGATGCGTTGAAACTCCTCTTCATCTAATTTAACTTCTAAAGAACGAAAATATCCATGTAATTGTATAACTCTCAGTGCAATCTACTATTCGCTATGGCTGAATAAAACGGGTAAAGTGTCACCTCTTTGAATTTAAGAATTCACTGAATTGACAAAAGCCGATAAAAAACAAGCTAAACTTGACTACAAGTGATACAAGACAACCGAAACCTATATATTATCGTAAACTATGTGAAAACCTACTGGGACACTTATTATGATACGAAGGTAGAACTATGTAATATAATACTGAGTAACGGATATGGTGACCAATAGTTTAGGTAAGCTAATAAATAAGAAAAATTCTATTATACCCCTAATGTTTTTGAACTTATTATGATACAAAGGTAGAACTATGTAATATAACACTGATGACGGATAAGGTGACCAATAGTTTAGGTAAGCTAATAAATAAGGAAAATTCTATTGTACCCCTAATGTTTTTGAATGTATGGTACCTAAGCTTAGTTGGACAAATAAAAATATTACATAGGGATGGTTTAAACATGACACCACATCTAATTTAATTTATAATTTAGGGGTGTTTGGAACTGATTCAGCTTCTGATTCTTTTTTGGGAAATTTACCGGGATGTGACTAAAACTCAAGAGTTTCTCAATCTATGACCTAACTAGTTTTTATATCTTTGTATGACTAAAAATCCAAAAACAAATAGAAAATTCGTTTATATTTAAATGTTGAATGACGAAAATACCCTTATTTAAAATATGTGCAATTTGCACTAATTCCGTTCAATTAAAATTACTGCACTTTATATTGTCTTTAATGCACGATATTAATGCACAACATTATTGCACATCCTGTAAAATCACTGCACTTCATGTCAACATTAATATCTTCTTATCCACGTTTGGAATTTATTTATAGTTCTTTATTAATTTATTTTTAGATGTAATAACTTTAAATTAGCTTTTTACATCCAGTTAAATATATTACATCTTGTGCCATCATTATTGTTCTATTGAATTTGATTTACGGCAGAAAACACTTCATCAGCAATGCATTCATTCACTGCTCGTAGACAACATTATCCAATGTCATGCTCATTGTCCATATTCAACACTATTTATTTTCTCCGATTCAATACACAACACTTTTCCTCAATGCATTCATTCACTGCTCATGTTTGCTGTCCATATATTCAGTGCCCGTTCTCAATGCCTTAGAATATGGCCCGGTGATGGTGTGCCGGGTGTAAACAGATCCAAATAGAGGGATTTCGTCACTCTATCACCAATGGTGAATCCAAGATTGAAAAAAGAAAGATGCTTTCGTCACTTGAGGCTTACCCAATGATCAAAGAAAATATTTTTATGGGAACATTCCAAACTGTACAAGAGAAACTAGAACCCTATCACCAATCCCAGAAAATTGAATTTGAAAATTAAACAAACAACCGTGATAGTCTAATAATTACATAACGCCGTGAATATATAGTCTTCCACCATGACTAACGAGCACCGGTGGCCGGATCCTCGCGTAGCAATCGTCGTACATCCCTGGTTGAAGTCCTCGGCACCCGTGCGCAGATGTGAGGTTGTCGGCAATGTCCAAGACGGCTATCGTGTATGCATCCAGATCGGTGTGGATGCTTCCTCCGGGCCCCTCTAGGCGAAGTAGCTCCTGCGGTGGAGGTTTGCTTCCAGGTCGGGGAAGAGGCTCTTGGCTAATGCAGGTCGGCTAAATTAGGGTATTAGGTGATTATGGTTTTATAATTATAGTTTAAGGGCATATCGGTCCACAAAAATTATTTTTTTATTTAATTATTAATATATTAATTAATTACTACGAATTTTGATATTATTTTGGTAAAAAAAGTAATAAGGTCATAGATTGAGAAACTGATGGAGTTTTAGTCATACCTAGTTTTAGTCATCTCTTCTTTTTAAAGCAGAAGCAGAATCATAATCGGTTTTCAGAAACTGGTCTCCCCCTGCTTCTAAAAAAACTGATTCGATGAGTAAATTAAAACACCAAAATTACTTCTGCACATTCACCCCCAAACACTCCAACTTTTGTTTCTGCTCTTTCAGGAGTAGAAGCAGTTTTAAGAATCAGATCCAAACACCCCATTAATCTATTTCCATTGCAGCCCTTACACTCTCCTCTTTTGACGGCATATGACGAGTAAAGGAATTGAATAATATCCCATCTTGTGTTATATCAAGTTACAGTATACTGTATGCATCTCAGAGTTCTAGATACTGCATCACATTTAATATCAAGTTGTTCCTTTTTTACATTGCTATTTAATATCATGATGTCTTCTGTAACACTTTACATCTTTACATTGATATTTTCTGTATGCATGCATGATGCATGGCACCTTCTCTACTTAAACACAATATTCTTTTGGGTAGCTCTCCCCTACATTTACATTGCTGCATGTTTTGGTACAGTGGAGGACCTAACACTACTAGAAAAATGTCTTATAGTGACACTTTGCCTGTGACACTATAATGACATAAACACCTTTATGACACTTTTATATCAGTAATTTGTGACACTATTATATCAACTTACAAAGTGACAGTTCAACACAGATTTTAATTAATTTTTATATTTTTTAAAATTTCAGAAACACTTATACATATATACGTGTAAACCTGTGCATCTCTCATTCACTTCAAGAGTCAAGACACACAAGCTCTCCTCCATTGTGACCTAGCCCCCTGAGTCGTCCAGACGGATGAACTCATCGCCATTCATCCACTGGTCGCACAACTGGCCGCCTGGACGACTGGATGTCGATCGTTCCCCCTTCGCCGGCACTACCTATGACCTCAGTTCCTCTCGAGCTCGCCCCTGCCTTCGCTGATTGACGGATCGAGTTGGTGACTGGTGAGTCCTCTCTTCTCCTTGCGATTTTCGGTCAATGAACGGAGACACTAGCCGTAAGGTACTCGATCTCTAGCTTATCATTTATATCGCTACCTCCTTAAAAATTGAAAATCGCATCTCTGGACCATCTCAACTGAAATTCTGAACTTAATTCTTATGTAAAAATGTTTTTTTACATGTTATATACTTTTTCTCTAGATTTGTGTATTTCTTGGGTTTTTTAATTTCTTTTAGTTTGATAGAAAATGGAAATGTCTATTCTCAGCTCTTATGTTTCTAGTATAATGTCTACTAACTGTTTGTAAAAATGCCTCAGTAAAAATGAACAAGTACTCTTTCTCAATCATGTAGCCTAAGATCGCAGATTTGGGACAGAACAGAGCAAGATAGATTTAGGAGTTATATACCCTGCAAAATCAGAGGCTCGTGTGTTAATGTGAATGTTTATGGTGTTCCAAGTCCGCACACATTCATTAACAATGTAAAGTGAATGTTAAACATCCTTCTTGGGGTGATGTTTCCAGCTTGTGCTGAAGCAGCTGGACTGCCACCTGAGATGGAGGGGTTAGACATCCTTCTTGGAGGCTTAGCAGGTTTGTCCTTGCTATGGTTGAGATCAAAGCCACTTATACTCTTGCTCACTAATTGTCCGGGCTTTACCCTTCTGGTAGCAAACGAGTTAAAGGAATCGGCTAGTGGCGGCTTTTCCTCATTCTTGAAACTGTTTATTTAAAAACCTCTATAAGATAATTCCTTCTATCTGCATTTCTTATTGTAAAAAGATCCTGGTATGACAAGCTGCTATTTTTAATTTATAAGTTATCCTACCCAAAGTAGTCTAAAGTGTTATAATAAGTTTATTCACTTCAAGGATAAAGAGAGTGTGGCGAAACATATTATTTTATATAGCCTATGGCTCTATACAAATATTAATAGATACTTCCTCTTTAGAATACAAGTGTTCAGAAGTATTGTTTCAAAATTCTGCAGCAAGTTATATATCAAAGAACCTGTAGTTGTAGCAATATTTTGTTTAGTTATCATGTACGATAAGATGACAGTTGTACCAACTTTTGCTTAGTTGTGTATAATGAACTTATACTCTTATATTGCAGGTTCAGGATGTTTCATGT